TTCCCAAATGTTTTTTCTCCCAGAAGTCTCACAAAATCCAGCCCCATTCCAAATATAACTGTTAGCACAATACTTGCAGCACTGGAAAAGCAACCTGCTATCACAGAGCAACTGTCTGTGTGTTTGCAAATGTAGCTCTAGATAGCTCTACAGCCGTGGCCAGCTATCCTTAAGAGGAATGGAGAGCATCATCCCAGTAACCAGGCATTTTTGAAAGGGATGGTGAAAGGACAAAGGGCAGAGAAGGGATTGATTGCTGACAGTGATGGAGGCAAAAGTGCAGCAAATCAGCTCACTGCTCAGACACACTAATTTGAGTCTTCTAAGCAACAAAACATTCACCTATCAAAATTCCCCTCCTCTGTTCGCACTTCCCCAGCTTCTGTCTGTGACCTGCGCTGTGGTTAACCTGCTAACCGCAGTCAACACAATGACTTTACCAGAACACACAAGACAATCTCTACCGTCATTCTGCCCCACCTTCTGCTTGTGTTCCCTGTGATGGCTTATTTCCGTGCAGAAGGGCAGAATGAAGAGGCACCGGTACTGCAGCATACCTGCTGGGAAGCGCTGTGCTGCTCTGCAGCTCCCTCACCTACAGAGGAGAGAGGGGACACTGCCGGCCTTTCCTGCAGCCTCATCCAACTTCTCTGCTGCAAAGCACGGCGCTCATTTCCAAAAAGGTATGACAGAAGCAAGACTGCTGTGTGAAGGAAAAGCAGTGGAGTGAGGGAGGTGTGCTTGCAGAGAATGGATGGGAAAGGTCAAATCACACAAACAATTACACAAAATGCAAAGACTAACAGCTAGTCTGACAGCAGACACGGTCAGTAATGCTGGTCAGACCACTGCCCTTCTCATTTTATGCAGTCACAAGCTGGACTATAACCAGAGCCAAAAAGAGGGAGAAATGTGATAAACAAAAGCTTTTGGGAACCAAATGTTTACTTAATGTGCAGTTTTCAACTACTTCCTCCATCTAAGAAATAGAGGACTTTACTTCTCAGAGCTACATATCGAATAGATGTGTACATATCCCCCATCCTGAAAGGTCAGATTTCTTAAACTCTGAAATCAAAAACTCATTCTAAGCAATAGCATCCAAATATCCGCAGATCTATGTATCCATAGCTACAAACATTTGAAAGAGCGTCAGTTTTCTTTAAAGTTTCCCCTCAAGTTGTTTAAGGAAGTCTGAATCATTAGAGACATGAGTAACTTCAAGCTCTACATGAAGCCTAAAATCTACTGCTTGGTACTGGCTCTTGGCATCTTGGAACAAACTGCAAAGAATTCAGAGTGTAATAATAAAATTACAGGGAACAAACCATAAAGGCAGACGAGAGGAGCCAGCTGTGGCATGTGGTGCGATGCAGCATCACGAGCAATGGCATGAATGTGAGGTGCCTTAGGGAAGATGAACTTGGTAGGGTTAGAGTTACTCAGCAAAGGGAATATTTAAACACCAGGAAAAGGTTAGAAAAAATAAAACCAATCAAAGCCACTTCCCTAAGCACATAAAGAATGCTAGGCAAATCAGTGGAGGCAGTCAGCATTTTTCTTTCTAATGACTAAGCTGCCTTTGATCCACAAGCCAAGACCTGATACATCCCATCCCTTCCAGAGTCAGCCTCAGTCCTGCCTGGGGCCAGTTAACCCAGGTAAAGCATGCCTTATGCTGAAGATCTGAATTTAATTCAATTTCAGAAGTAAAATTGTAGAAAAATCAATCAGAGTGCCAAGCTGATACACACATAACTGAAAGAAAGTATTCCTTGTCTCCACCCTATTTCCCTTTGGATAATAATAGCTTGCTCATTCTATAAACCTTGTGAGAAATCAAAATCCCAGCTTATTTTTACAAGGCAATCTCCGAAGAGTTAAGAAATTTATTTTCTTAATCACAGAGTGTGACAAACAAGAAGTGTGACTTGCAGCCTGAGTTCAGCAGAAGCATCACATGGAGGCAGCTTCCAAGCAGAAGTGAGCAGCTTGTGTGTGCAATCCATCTCTGCTATCTACTTTTCTTTGTTCTGCAATCAGCATCCCCCCTGTTTGGGAACAGTTACATTACAGCACCGCAGCCAAAAGTCTGCTTTGACACTGTACGTGCCAGAGAGCTCTCAGCTGGCCTGGGCCACAGGGCAGCAGCACAATAGACCAAAGAGGCATAGGGAAGGTACAGGGTGATGCTCTTAGCACTCAGACTGCTGGCTACAATAGGCCTCACAACTTTTACCAAGCAATGCTGAAATACAGTTTTGGCGAAGGATGAAATGTAGGAATTTTTAAGACCAAATTGCATGCTCTGATCACAGACTTGGCTGAGGCTATCTAACTTGCATGCCTCCAAGATTTAAGATAACCAGAGTTTAAGGATTTGTAATTGGAAGCTTGCTGATGCATCGTATTTACCAAGTGAAAAAGTTCTACCACATTTAATACTTCAGCAACGATTCTTACAAAGGGCCCCATTCTCTTTAATCTGCTTCAGAGGATGAGACACAGAAAAGAGTATCTGATCCCTACTCTAGGGAATGTGCTTTAGCAGTGGGGTTGGACCGGATGTCTCTGGTCTCCCAGTCTCTGCACCTCTGTAACTCCAGGAAAGTTTACATGACCATAAAAAAAATAGTAGTAATAATGACATAAAGAGAAACCACTGTCTGGTGACCATTGTATTGGGGATAAAACAACTGAGTTCTAAAGCCCAAACTCTCTACACTTGGATTTCATGGGCAGCTTGGAGGACCTGTGTGTAGAAATCACAACACAAACTGAGGCTTAACACCAGAGGAAAACCTATCTCCAAGCAGAAATCAATCAATACTAACTCACATCATCCTAATCTATAATAAAGCAAACAAATGTGTTTATTGTGAAACGAGGTAACTTGTTTGAGCAGTAAGGAAAGTTCATCTGTGTTTCAGGTGGCAATCCAAACATTCCAACCTTTGCCCATGGTAAATCCAATTCATTTCCTACTTCTGAAACGTTCTTGCTATCAAGTAAACATGTAGGTCATAACAAAGATGTAGCTTCCTGCCCCAGGGCTGTGGGGAAATACACCACTGTATTTTTTTCTGCATGATCGCATAAAGTTATAACTCAGTGGCCTCAGGGCAGAAAATATATGCCTAAAGAAAGCACATGCAACATTGCTAGTTTGCAGAACAGCCAATTTACTGTTCTCAAACACAACACAGACAGCCCTTCAACAACCTGGGAAAAGACAGGGTAACCTTGGCCACTATGTTCACTAGCGGAAACAAGAAATAAGAAAGATACTTCAATCATCCATTACATGGTTTCTCCCTGTGAAGAAGAAAGCTTATCTAGCTTTCACTTGTGGCAAACCTCATGCACCCAGATAAATCAGATTATTTCGCCCTGCATTAATTCAGATTGACGTTTGCACAGCGTCATCTTTCTTCATAACGGTCGATTGAAAGGGAATCACGGAATCATTAAAGTTGGAAAAGACCTCTAAGGTCCAAGCACCGACCCACTCCCTTCATGCCCACTGATCACATCCCTCAGTGCCACATCCACGCTGTCCTCGAACACCTCCAGAGACGGTGAATGCACCACCTCCCCGGGCAGCCGGTGCCACTTTGCAACTCTTCTGGAGAAGAGTTTTTTTCCTAACGTCAGCGTGGATAAAAGATAAAGCGCTGACGGAGACGGACCATTTCTAGCAGAGCAGCTGCTGAGCCCACCACAGCCGCGCGCCCGGCAGTGCCAAAGGCGCTCGCTCAGCTGCAGCGGCACGGGGACACGGAGCTCAGAGCTCACGGCATGAAAGCAAGCGTGAGGCTTCAAAATACGCCCCAGCACCTACGTGAAACGGGCGAAAACAAACAGACACAACTTTAGATCAAACGGACACAGGACTTGATTTCTTACCGACGATGGGGAAATGACTAATAACACTGCAACCCGCACTGAAAGCCGAGAACGGCTGCTCCCGCCGCACAGATACCACAACATAAGGGTATTTACTAACGAAGAAACCCACGCCTGGTGCCTCACTGTCTGATTCCCCTCAGAGCCCCGGAGGCGTGAAGGGGAAGAGCGGCAGGAATGCCCCAGCACATTCTACCCCGCCGCCTGGCTCGCGCTCGCCGCCCGGCCGCACCTCGCTCAGCCCTAGCTGGGATCGCCAGCGCCCTCCCACCCGCACAGCAAGGCGCGACTGACACGGTGCCTCCCCAGAGGACCAGACCCCGCCGCTGGCGAGGGACAGCGACTCACCGCTCAGGTAGTTGGTCCACTTGTACAGCACGCCCTCCATGGCGACCGGGCCCCCGCCCCCATGCAGCGCGGCCGGCCCCCGGCGCGCTCACGCCGTTCGCCGCTGCCTCCCGCCGCCGCTTCTGCCGGCACCCAGGGCCATAGCGGGGCACCGCCCGCCCTGCGCGGCCCGGCCCCCGCCGCCGTGCCGGCCCTCTGCCACGCTTCTGGCGCAGGGTGCGCCCAAAGAACCACCCCTCAGCGCTACGGTTGCGTAAAACATTCCAAGAATCGCAACTCCGCCTGACGAGCACGCGAAAAGGGGAGGGAACGGGCGCAGCACGCCCGAAGCAGGTGGCCTCCCGCAGCCTATAGGAACGCCTTCTTGGTGACGGCGCTGCCCAATCGGAGGCCGGCAGGAGCCGGCTCTATTGTGCGGACTCTCCGGCGCGCTAACGTTCGCTTCCTGGAGCTCAGGTCCCGCCCCCTTCGCTTAGCGACCGTCTCGCAAAACGCCGCTTCCGATTGGGCAATCCGAGCCTCGGAAAGGGCAGCCAATGGGCCAACGCTTCTGCTTGAGCTGAACCAATCAGAGGACGTGGTTCCCCCTAGTCCCGGCCGGCAAGAAGTCGAGGGCTGCCGGCCGTGAGGGCAGCTGCCACGTCTGCGGGCTGGCCGGGCCGAGCGGCCGCCGTGCTGCCAGCAGCTGGTGGGCCATGATGGGCTCGCGGCGCTGAGGTGGGCGCTGGGTCTGGCGGCGGGGCGGGATGGCGGCGCTGCGGGCCTCCCTGCTGGGCGTCCTGCTGGGCTGCGCGGCCGCGGCCCTCATCCCCGCGGCCGACGTGAAGGTGGAGGTGCTGCAGAAGCCGTTCCTGTGCCACCGGAGGACCAAGTGGGGGGACATGATGCTGGTGCACTATGAGGGCTTCCTGCAGAGCGACGGCTCCATGTTCCACTCCACGTGAGTTTCCCGGGGCGCGGGGCCAGCTGTGTGGACAGGGTGTATATATGTGTGTGTGCGTGTAAGTGTGTGGTGCAAGAGGATGAAACAAGCTAGACGAGAGCTTTGCTATCACCTCAGAGCTGGCAGCCAGGAAGCTTGCATTGCTGGCAGGGGCTGCTGCCTTTTAGATTCAGATGTGCTGTAAGTGGTGTTCCTTACCCGCCCCAGACACATCGCATTCTGAGGGCAACTGCAATGCAAATACGAGGAGGAGCCTGCAAATCCCTTGCTAATGGTGCCTTTCCTGTGAAGCGATGGGGTGCTAACAATGGGAGACAGCGAGATGCTCACGAGACCGCAGGCTGCACTGGAATCACTTGTGGAAGTCATTTTAAATAGCAGCCAAAACAGACAACGTTTTGCATGTTCACGGTCCTGCAGATGCAAATTAAAATCTCACTAATTTTCTCTTGTAGTTAACCCGCCTCTCTCAAAGGAGTTGTAGTGACGCTTTAAGTTTTTGCTGCTGACTAACTCCTGTAAGTGCTCTTATGTCGTGTTCGGCACCTTTCTTGCATGGCTAGAAATGGAGCTTTGGGCTGTAGTTAAAATTCTGTGCCTGTCAATAGATTGGAAGTGGTTGTGTTGTACCACCTGGTTATATTTGAAAAGGGGGTCGTCTGCCTGTTTTAAGTGTTTTGCATGCATTTATTTCTCTTTTTCTAGGTATCTGTTGTGTAGTCGTTTTTTCTTCCGCTGGCTTTTTCAGAAGAGATGTGACTGACTCTTCTAAGCATGTTATAAGGTATACTGCAGTCATGGCCAAGCTGATTTGTGACTTGCGATTTACAAAGAGCTTACATAGCCTTGAGCATAACTTCCAAGCATAAATGCCTTTCTAGTCTGATCAGTTTCAAAGCAAAATAAATGATCAGGAAAATGGAGATGAGGATCCAGGTTTCTCAGCGTTGTCATGAGTGCACCCTGTATGTGCTGTTTCATTCCTTTGCAGTTCTTAAGGCGCCTTGTCATGCAAGACATAACTTCTAAGGACTTTAAAAGTGTAGAACTTTCATTTGAGAAATACCAAGATACCATATAGGCTTTTATTTTTTTTATTGCATAAGTGTGAGTGTTTTTGGTCTGTCCCATTTGCCTTTTATGGAACTTGCTGTTTAAAGATTGTTTTATTCCATTCTTTTCCAGTCACAAACATAACAATGGGCAACCTATGTGGTTTACACTTGGCATAAGAGAAGCCATCAAAGGCTGGGACAAAGGTTTGAAGGACATGTGTGTGGGGGAGAAGCGGAAGCTAACTATTCCACCAGCCCTTGCTTATGGAAAAGAAGGGAAAGGTAAAATGCCTGAACTCCTTCTCTTGCTTAAATTGTTTTTAATCTCTATTAATTTTACTGATTTTGACTGAAGAGGTTAGCAAGTTTTCCATGTTGATATCATTAATTAAGGGAAATTATTGGAGTGGGGTGCTCTTTCTCAAAAACTTGTTTTCTGCAGAAAATACTCATTAAGTGTCTAAAGTGGTGAATGCAGGAGAGGAATTCATGACAGCAGCTGTGCTGTACATTCTGAGTATTACTTCTGTTAGTGCTGAGCTCAGCAGTGCTCTGCTTTATTATTTATTTTCAGTCAAGCTTGAAGTGGTTACTGTAGTTAATACTTTGGTTGTTGCATCTGTGTTTGTGATAATAATTCCATGAATGTGCATGTGCAAGCCTTATTCTTTTTTGTGGGTTTCTTCTAGGAAGCTGAAGAACCTCCAGTTCTGTTCATCCTCTTTATGTTCTTAAATGTTACAGTGAAAACTCACCATTTATTTCTCCATATAGGGGCACTTCATTCTTTACAACTTTGGGCAGCTGTGCCTGTTAACCAAAATAAGATATGTGGGAACATTAACAAGCAAGCTGGTATCTACCAAAAATGTACTGAATGATGTGCAGGCAGATAAAAGCATGGCTTGTAATGTTTTCTCTCAACCTGTGTGCTGCTGGCAGTACTTTTCTCCCCTTTCAAACATTTTCAGACAAACCTTCTTTTAACGAGAAGGTCAAGACTGGAATGTGTGGTTAAATGAGTGACAGTTTAAATGATGCAGGAATGTTACTTTTTCTGCTTTATGCAGGGCACAGCTGTAAGTCTTTTTCTACAAAAAAAAAAAAAAACACAAACAAACAAACAAAAAACATTAAATGCTGTAGAGGCTCACCTGGTAATTACAGGCCTAATTGTTTTGACTGAAGGCTAACTGTAGTGATTTACATATTAAAGGCTTGCAAGCCTCACTTATGTATTTAATGCAAGAAGGCTAAACTAGTAAACACTGCTAGCTGCCGTACTTTGGGAAAACACTGAAGTATTTGAATACATGAACCTTATGTTGCTGTGCTGTTGAAGAATTCTGTTTTCTTCATACTTTCCACTGAACGCTCAGGAGTTCACCAGCTTCCCACCTGGTGCCTTTCTTGCTCTGCCCTGAATGATGAGTCACATGCCTTATTCTGCAACCCTCAGGAAAAAAATTTACCTATGTTCCAAACCCCATGCAGGCCACCGTGGCCTATATTTCCAGAAGATTCTGTACATTTATTCATTCTGGAGATCTGTTAGCATGTTAAATATATTCTGAACTGCAGGAATAAACATCACAGCTTCCAAACTGTTAAGTGAGGATTAATTTTCTCCTTATTTCAAGGCATGCACGTATTTTTGGAGTGCCTCTATCCAATATAGAAATAGAGAGGTTAAATAGGACCAAATGGCAGAGGAGCAAAGTTCAAAGCTAAATCTTTGACAGTAGCATCAGCCATTAGGGTGAGGATGTATCATGCTATTGAAAAAGCCAGAGACTGATAAACTCTAGGGATGGTAATAATTAAATGTTCTCTGGCACTATCAGAAAATTATTAATGTATTGACTTGCATCAAAATGGAATGATGTTAATAACCTTATGATCAGGCTTATGTGCCCAGTTTCTGCTGTGTGTTTGGAAGTAGTTCAGTGCTTTTTGTGCTACAATTCAGAGACAGCCATAGGATACTGACAGCATTGCTGCCCTTCTGCTTTTCTTGTCAAGAAGTGTCAGGATACCACATACAGAGGTAGCATTCAGTCCATCTGATGCACTACTTGCCTTGCTGTCCATTGGTCTGAGCTGTGTACTGAAACAGTGGCCACCTAACTTTATGGTCTACTTCACTGCTTTCTGCTCAGACTCGGTCTGGCTCAAAAAGTGGCTCAAGAATCTTGTCTCGTAAGTCTGTGATGAGTTACTGAATAGGAGCTCACAAGAGTACACGCTAGCTTTCAACAAAGCTGGTTGCATCTGAACTTGCACATGTGTTGCAAGGGCTGCTCAGGGTCTGAGCTACAATCTAAAATAGTTGCACTTAACACTGTTACAGATGGTTATTCATTTTGGCTCAAAATGCAGGTTGCTTTGAAATAATGGGATTACTCTGAAGCATGTGGCTTTCATGGTGCACTAAACGTGTATCTTTCTAACTTCGTTCTGTGCAGGGAAAATTCCACCTGAGAGCACACTGATCTTCAATATTGACCTTCTAGAAATTAGGAATGGACCCAGGTCTCATGAGTCATTTCAAGAGATGGATCTTAATGATGACTGGAAGCTGTCCAAGCAAGAGGTGAGTGGGTTACTTTTCTTGCAAGCAAATTTAACAGAATTATGTAGTAAAAATGAAAAGATAAGATAAAGCTTGGAAGCTTAGCTTTCAATAAAACTAAGCTGAAGATGCACGGTTATGCTGTACCAAGCTGAGCCTTGGATCTTGAACTGCTGAACTGAGGAGTCTACAAGTGGATTTTGCAAGCTGCAGCACAGCATGTGATGGAAGTGCACCCCACACTTATGGAAAACTTCATAAAGTAAAACATCTTAGAAATAAAACTTCAAGGTTTGGTTGTTTTTTTTTTTTGAGTTAGTTGCTGCTTTACTAATAAATTAGATTTTGAAGATCACCTACTGTGAAGCAGTCCTGTTTTGTAGCTTTTACTGCCTGAAGAACCTTTATGGAGCATTATTCTGCATTATTCTTGTTGCCTTTTATTTTCAGGCTTCTGTTTTTACGCTGTGTGGATGTTATCCATGAGAAGTTAGGATAAACCACTAAGTTCATAGAATTACCAAGACTGGGAAGGATCTCCAAGGTCTTCTAGTCCAACTGTCCACCTACCACCAATGTTTTTCCACTAAACCATGTCCCTAAGTACTATGTCTAAAGATTTCTTGAGAACTTCCAGGGATTGTGACTTAACCACCTCCCTGGGCAGCCTGTTCCAGCATCATTTTTTATTTGGGGACTGGTTCAGTTTGTCAGTCCTTAGGAGGGTTATCTTTTTGTAATGCACAGCAGCTAGGCAGTGTCAGTGTTTCCAACATGCATATTAGAAACATGAGTAATGACCATAACACAGACTGGAATGTGAAATGAATAAAACAGACCTGAAGTGTGACCCATTTATCTTCCTGTTAACAGTCCACTCTTGCAGTTTCTGTTAAACAGGTTCTGTCTATTTAACAAAGGGATGTGTTGCTATTAATATTCTGGAGATGCGTTGCTATTAATACTCTGATAGAAAGCTTTGTGATTCAGAACACTTAGGCTCTTGGTAGTTAAACTTAGTAAAAATTGCTTGCCGTTTGTTAATGGCTTGGTGTACATAACTGTTCTAGCTCTCCATTCAAAAACTGCCTTGAATCTATTTGCCCTTCAGAGCCTTGAGATTTCTAGTAATACATTGTAATGTGTTGCCATTAGAGCAGTAAATGTAAAGATTATGGATAGATTTCTGTATCATTTTGGGGTTGCTGTTTGGGTTTACATCTGCTAGTTTGACAAATTGCTAAGACATGAGAATGCTGTTTTAGTTCTGACCAATTGGTAGTTATAATTTCTGCCTACCCGTTCATACTTTACTATATAGACATCAGATGACATACCTTCTTGGCACAGTTTTCAGTCATACAATAAAGCCATGGCAACTAGTTTGCTAGCTTTATTTTCTTTCATCACCAAGCAGGGCCAAAGAATCTAGTTAGACAAGTTTCCTTCTGTTGTGGCGTAGGAAGGAAGATAACTATTAATAGTTTAATACTACCATCCCAACTCTCTCTTACATTCCAGTAATCAATTATCTTAAATATGAAGGCATTAACTCTCATCTTTTATCTAATAGGTGAAAATTTACTTGAAGAAAGAGTTTGAGAAGCATGGAGCAGTGGTAAATGACACCCAGCATGATGCTTTGGTTGAAGACATATTTGATAAAGAAGATGAAGACAGTGATGGGTTTATATCTGCAAGGGAATTCACATACAAGCATGATGAGCTGTAGGAAAGGATGACATAATTTTTTTGACACAAATGGCAATGACTTAGACTGTCTGGTTCTCTTGTCGTCTTGATTCTGTGTTTTGGAGTTGACAGCTGCTATTGGCAGAAGAGAAATGACAAAAAAAACCCCACTTTTTTATATTAAAAGAGAATTTCAGTTGTTTACGTTAAAAATATATATATATTTTAAACTATTTGTAAGATTGAAATTGTACTTACTGTTGTGCAATGAAGACTTGCACGTTTTGTTTTTTAATTTTGTATTAACTTATTTTTTCAGAAATGAAACAAGGTTTCCAGGTATCGAACATCTTGAAAATCAAAATCCAGTACAGTGCCTTTCTGTGCTTTATTTCTTCAGATCACATTCAGTGACTTTTACATATGACTTCTAGTCTGACTTAATCAATTATTTGACCTTTTTTGTACCTTGCTGCTTGTAAAGCAGTGTGCTGGCATTGCTTGCTTTCTGCAGATTTTGAAATATCCACTAGAAAGCACCAACACCTTGTAGGACAGCTGAGAAACTCATACGAAGCTGAATGAGAAGAATGGCTGTCCTATGCTGATTCTGCTTTTCTAAAGGAGAATACCAAAATAACTGTTTGCATCACTAAAGGAAAACAAACAAAAAAATAGGAGTTAAATATCAGACCTTCTCATTTTTATATTAGCAGTGTTCTAGAAGATAAGGTACTATTTTCCAAGTAGTTTTGTTGTTCTGCAGAGGTAGCGTCCTTCACTTCCTTACATGCATTGGTTTGTGAAGAGATTGCATTTTCTTCACCTCAGGTGTTGAGAGACATCTAAAGAAAAAATTTAGCAAATTTTTTTTCCCCATTTTCAGAAAGGAAGGAAGGAGCATGCTAACATGCAGGTCAGTATGTCCTAAAGAACACTTTGTGTTACTTGCCAGCTTTGCTACTGCCTGAATTGTAGAATTTGTCTTATTTTTTTTGCACCTTTGCTGTATTTTCACAGGTAGCACAAAAGTTATCTGAGTCTTAAGAAATAAAGTGACTTTTAAAAAAAAGAAAAAAAGTGAGGTAAACATTCTGCTGCTGAATCTTTATGGTGTGGAGATGATGAGGATTTCAGCTCTGTCTTGTGTGTTTGAACCCTCTCTAAAGAGGAAGAAGCTTAGTCATCATCCATGGGCCTGAATGAGTGGGTGAGGTATCTCTTAGAAGGATTTAGCCTTTATTCTTCCAGCACTAAAATGGGTTTTTGTACAGAATACTTAGATTTAAAAATACTGCCATAGGTTTTGTAGGGATATGAGGTAAACCAAATTGTATAAAATCAGTATTGCTGTAATGTGCTAAGGAGGGGTGGGGGAGCTTGGGGGGAGTTGCATTCAAGATCCTCAGTTAGCTTGATGAAAATTTTCTCTGCAATCTAGCGTTGCATGTAAGTATTAGAAGACTGCTTTATTGTAGACAGCAAGGATTTCTGTACAGTGATTGTGCTACGTGAAGATATGCAGGGGTGGAGTTTTTGCGTTCCAGCATTTGGTATTTTATGGCATGTGGCTTACATGATGTGGAGTTTTCATATTTTGTTTTAAACAGTGTTTTTTTTCCCCTCCTTCACAATATCTAGTTTTCTTGAACCTATTTATTCTTTAGTTCTGTGGCAGTCACAGTAGAATGGCATAGGATGCTACTTCCATTTGTTCTTATGCTTGTTGCCTGTCCTGGTTATTGTGAGGAAATAATTAACAAGTCATCTTACCAGTCATGAGTTTACATAAACTTTTTTTTTCCTTTTTGCTCTAGAAAGTTTGTCTTGCCTGACATTGTTTGTGTGCTGAGCATCTTGATTTCTCCTACAGTCACCAGAGCACAAGGCACTTTAGAGTAATTCGTCATATTTATATAGTTCATATTCTGTTAGGGTAGATGCCTTATCAGTCAGAGGTGCCTATCTTCCCCCATTAACTACGTGGGGAGCATAGACAATTCTTGCATCCAAGGCCAAGAATGTCTAATGGCTTATAAAGTTGACCCTTGAGGCATTACTGCTTAAGATTCAGGATCTGGTTGGTAACAGCCAACCAAATAGAATTACAATGTGAATGCTGCTGGGAAGAGTAGAATTGAGACTTGGAATGGGTATATCAGGTTTTAAAATCATCTGCAGTATTTAGCACGCTCACTGAACGTCTGGCTGGGAAATGAAAGCATAAAAGCATGAAATAAAAAATGACCCTGATTACTGGCCAAATACTTCAAGTGTAAGCTTTTTTAATGGATACCAACCTACTTCTAAAGTGAAGGCCAAATGTTTTGCTTGTATTCAGTAGGAGTTTAGAGTCGGTGAATACTGTGAAATATGCATTATCTTCTGTTTAGATTTTGAAAATATTTCATAAAAATAACTTCAAGTAAACATACTGTAGACAGTTAATGCCAGCAGAGTATTAAAGCTGCAAGGCCAAGATGATTTATTTGGTGTGCTGTGCGTAGATTTACACGAAGTGAATTCGTTTTAATGCTTTTCTTGGTAGCTATGTTACATTTCTGAAATTGAACTTAAAAATTTTTTAAAAGTGCAAAATCAGCAGCAGATTTCAGAAGCTGCTGCAACCTCATTACCATTTGCTGTCATTCAAGTCCTTCTGTGAAAATGAAGAAATTTCTTAGGAAATAACTGCCTGTCTTACCCTCAGCTGTGTCTGGTTGTTAGTCCCTGGGGCGTGCTTCTGCATTGTCAGCAGGAGCCAGCTAGCTACTTACAGGGGAGCAGACATGAGCAGCTGCTCCTCCTCTGATGGGAGAAGAGGTATTGGAACTTCAGTAGCACTCAGCAACCGGCTTCTGTGCAAACTGCAAGCTCTATTTCCATGAGGAAACAAACCTTTGCTGCTTGTCTGTAAGATGCTGCACTTGAAAAAGTGGAGATGGCTCAACAGTGTTGTGAGCACGTACTGGATTGTTCCTCTTTCTTGTTTTCTGGTTATAGATGAAAACACTTTTTTTTTTTTTTTACATACAGCAGTCTGTCATTCAGAGCTATGACCTAGCAATTACAATAGGAGTTGCTGTTTTGTGTACTTCAGAGCTCCTTTTATTTGAGAATCCTTGATAAGCATTGCAGTGACACAAGAAGGCTTTTGGCAAAGCTTCAGGAACAGTGTTTACAATCTTAAGTGTTTTCTGAAGCTTTCTTCTCTGAAATCAACTGACACAGCAAATGGTGTTGAAGCTAAAGGAAATTGCTTTACTGGGTTTCAAGTCTTTGCTTTATAATATTTTACATCTGTGCTATCCACAATGTTTCTGGTATTGAGGTGTTTATGATGGGATCATAAAACTGCAGTGTGAAGTATGTATTGCACTGCTATGATAATGTATTGTTCATGATACTTAGGACAAAAGTGATCTATGGCATGTTTGAGAATTCCACATAAAAATAGGTGTTACAGGTCAACCATTAAATTACAAGTGCCTTTGTCATATGTGCTCTCCAAACCACAGTCTCTGTTGCTGGAGAGTCTACCTCTTAATCCAGAGATCTCAGCCTGAAATGGCAGCTATCAGCAGGGTGGAGAGAGCTCACTGCTTTGGGATGTTTCTGGGAAAAGGAGTGAAGCTAGGGCAAGTGCAGTAAGGCACAGAAGAGTGATTTGAGAAATGCAGAAGGCTTTGTTGTCTCAATCCTTTGGCATCTGATTCCTTGGCAGAAAACTGGCAGCCACTGCTACAGGTACTGCACGTTGTAAGGCGGCGGGTTCTTGGTCTGACTTGGGTTAGAAATAGCTGCTTCAGCTGATTCTTTTTGTTTCTTTTTGTGGGTTCTCCTCTTATCACAAAGTTAATTCACACTTTCAAGGTTCATTAAAGAATATCCAGAATAGTTACTCTGAGTTTAATGTTGTCTTAAAAGTATCTCAGCCTCACTGTAAAGCTTTTGCAAAAACAAAAACTAACTATGAAATAAACCCAAAACAGCTTCATTATTTTCATATAATCCTGGATAATTTTAGCTTTTCCTGAAAGCCAATCATAATGCTTACGTTCTGTGCCCTACTTTTCTCCTGGTGTTCAAGAAAAACAACTGTGACATAATGATCTTTCTTCAGCTATCCTGGTTCTGCTCTTACATCTGTGCTTGATTATGTCCACAGTTTTACTCAGGAAGTTAACTAAGAAGATCAGTAAGAAGCTGCAGGGACAAACACATCCTTGCTTAGCTTTCCCAACCTGCAGTGAGCTCAGATGGGAAACACCTTTCATTGCATAATTTTAATTCCCAGAGCTTCAGATCCAAAAGTAGAGTGGTTTAGCTTTTACTTGATTTGGAAGCCTTGTGTTATTTTCTATCTTGGATGATATTAAAAAAAAAAAAAAAAGAAAAACTTAGTTTAGCTGAGAAATTTGCCAGTAAAGTATATGATAAACTGAAACTTCAGCGTGTCAGGCAGATTTTGTGCAAGGTTTCTGAATACCCTGTTCTTGATGGAGGGTGAGAGTTTGTACAGAGGAATTCATTCTCTACTAGAGAAACAACAAAACATCTGAAGGCTTACATTAAAAGCTTGCTGGCTTTTTATTTACTGACTGAAATACTTTTCATAATATTGTTAGTAACACATCATGTACGTGGGAGGGATTTTAAGCATATGTGCTGTCTATTCCTTATCCCTGTCCTTGCGAAGGGCTGGACTGAGCCATAAGTGGAAACCAGGGAAAACGATGTTCTGGGGCTTTTGCACATGTATGCATGTTTGTTGTGGAGGTGGTGCTTTGTTTTCTTGTAACTGCTCTGCATCTTGACTAGGTAAATAATGAACAAAGACCTTTGAAAAAATATTAGGGTTTATTTGGCTGCTGAAATCTGGTGTAGCCAACTCTTCAGAGCTCCTCAAATCTCTTTTGTGCTTTCCTCTAATTCAAAAATTCTGAGGCTGTTCCTACTACTGAGAGCTGCTCTTTGTTTTAGGTATGATGCTTCTAATTTCTAGTTTGTGTTGTGATCTGCTTAAGGAGATTAAATGATGCAGGATAATTGATTTCTCATCTGAGAGTCAGACTGAAAGCATTAAATCAATTCTGTCCTCTTACATTTTGTTGCCATTGAAATTTCTTTAAAGGAGCTGATGTTTCTTCTTTCCCAGACTAATAAACTAGGTAATACCCATTTCTTTTGCACATGTGGCTTGCTGCCTCTCTGGAAGTAAACAGCTCAGCTTAGCTCTGGTATCTCTAATCTGCTGGGCTATGATTTCAGAGAACAGGTTTTCATTCCGTAAATGCAAAGCAGAATGCATTAGTGACTCTGTGCCCAACTCTGGGTATGGAATCCATATAGTTATACCTAGCAGACTAACAGTAGCTTAAAGAAAATCCTGACTTTCTGGATTACTCTTGGCAGCTTTGAAAATACTGTTTTGTGCTCCTTCCTTTTAACAGAAGGATGCAAATGCAAATTGTTACTATTATTCCAGCCCTTAGCTGGAATCCCATCTTGTCCTCATTGCTATTGTCACTAGTTGGGTTAAAATCTGGGAAACAGAAACAGCCAGTGTTAATTTGTTAGCAAGTTCCTCCTATAGCAGGGCTTTACAGCCTCAAGCTGCCATTCACAAAGCAGTGGGGCACTGTGAAGGCAGCCATAACCTCTGCACCTTGCCTTTTCAGTAGGCAGCTGTGGGAGAGCAGTACAGAGGCAATAATGTCTCTAGATAACTAACTGAAGTGCTGTCAGCCAGGTCCTGCTGTCACACTGCAGCCCTAGGGTGTAAACCTAAGCACAAGCCTGGGGAAAATACCCCTGGCAATGGGGGGAAATAGAAGAGAAAATAGAAAGGCAGGGGGACAGCTTGTTGTACCAGCCCCCTTTTCTTGTCTGATAACTTCAGCCAAGGAAGCTTAAACACTTTTAGGTAACTGATTGCTGATGTTTCTTTGTTAAAATAAGTACATAGCATGCAACCAGTGTGAAATAGGAGAATTTGAACTGTGTACTATCTTCCCCACCACCTCTTCTCTGCCATTTTCCAGACATACATTCTGGATGAATGTATGTAGATGTATGTAATGTAAAGTCCTATGGGCTCTTTTATGAGTGAGAAATTCTGACTTGGGAATATTTGTCCAAAACTTAAGCCCCCTGATGTGCAGAATAATAACAAAGGCTGCAAAAAAAAAAAAACGTGCGTAGATGGGACGTGCCACTGTTCAGTGTCCCACCTTATGATGTGTATGGAGTGGTGAAAAGTGGTTGCTGACACGTTTGACTTGTAAGTGTACTTGGCAGACCTGTTGCTGTGG